CATGGTCCAATTCTATGCGACTGACTGCCCTGCCCGCATTTGCGGACAACTACATCTGGATGCTGATTGCCGACGACGGTGCTGCCGTGGTCGTCGATCCCGGCGATGCTGCACCGGTACTGGCGCTGGCTGCCCAAGGCGTGCGCGTGGACACCATCCTGCTCACCCACCACCACGACGATCACATCGGCGGAGTGCCGGCGCTGCAGGCGCGTTTCCCCGGCGTGCGCGTGATCGCGCCGGTCGAAGAGCGCATCCCGACGGCCACCGAGCGGGTCGGCGAAGGTGAACGTGTTCAGGCACTGGGGCGGATGTTCCACGTACTATCCGTCCCCGGGCACACCCGCAGCCACATCGCGTTTCACACCGCTGAACAGCTTTTCAGCGGAGATTCGTTGTTCAGCCTGGGCTGTGGACGCCTGTTCGAAGGTACGCCGTCCCAGCTGCTGGCATCAATGCGCAAGCTGGGTGCCCTGCCCGCGCAACTGCTGCTGTGTTGCGCTCACGAGTACACCGTGTCAAATGCCGTCTTCGCGCGGCATGTCGACCCCGCCAACGCTGCCTTGTTGCAGCGCCAAGAGGAGGCTTTGGCCATGCGCCGCGATGACCGTTCCACCCTGCCAGTATGCCTGGCCGATGAAATCGCCTGTAATCCGTTCCTGCGTACCCACACGACGCCCATCCGCGCGGCCGTGTCGGCACACCTGGGGCGCGAGGTCGTGGACGACGTCGACGTCATGGCCGGTCTCCGGCACTGGAAAGACGGCTTCCGCGCATGAGTCGCCGAAGTCTGCCGCTGGCCCTGGGTCTCGTCTTGGGGTTGGCCGGAACGGCCGGCGCACAATCGCTGGGCGCCGGCATCAGCCAGAACCTGACCGCCGCCTCGGCCCTGCCGCTGGATCCGTCAACGCTGCCGGCCGCATCGGTACGCAACGGCCAGGAGATCTTCTCCAGCTTCCGTGATGGCCTGGCCGAACCCAGTTGCGACGCCGAGGCCACCAGCCCGCGCTGGCAGAAGCAGTTCGCCCACGCCCCTTCGCGGCTGGCCAACCAGGATGACGACGCGCTGGTGCTGTTCGGCTATGTGGTCGAAGAACTGCGCAAAGCCAACCTGCCCACCGAATTCGCCCTGATTCCCTTCGTCGAAAGTGGTTATCGGCCCAATGCCCGCAACGGCAGCGGCCCGACCGGCCTGTGGCAGTTCATCGCCACTACCGCACGCAACCATCGCGTGCCGATGAGCAACAACTACGACGGCCGGCTGTCGGCAGTGGAGTCCACCCAGGCCGCCGTGCGCTACCTGAAGACCCTGCATGGCATGTTCGGCGGTGACTGGCGCCTGGCCACCATGGCCTACAACGCCGGCGAGTACCGCGTGCTGCAGTCCATGCGCAAGGCCGGCATGAATGCGCAGAACGCCAAGCCGGCCGGTCTGCCCGGGCTGTCGCCGGTCACCCATGCCTACGTCGAGAAACTTCATGCTCTGGCCTGCGTGCTGGAAGACGTGGAAGACCAGCCGGGCGTGATGGCCTCGCTGGACCGCACCGTGCCGGTGCTGAAGGACCACACCCTGCCGGCAGGCACCAGCGTCCAACAGTGGGCCGCGCAGCGCGCCCTGGACCCGGCGAAGATCGCCCGCTTGAATCCGGCACTGGCCGCCGGCAAACGCCCCTCGGGCACGGCCCGCCTATTGGCCCCGGTCTCGGCGTCCAACGCGAACGTTGCCGACATCGCCAGCACGGCCGTTGCCACCGCACCGGCCAGCACCGCCAACATCGCGCCGAGCCCGCAGGTGGCAAAAGTGGTCGCGTCGGCTGCTGATCGCCCGCGCAACCGCCGCCACACCGTGCGCAACGGCGAATCGGCATGGACCATCGCCCGCCGCTACGGCATGCCGGTGAAGGCACTGTTGTCGCTGAACGGCCTGAGCGGCAGCAGCGTGCTGAAGCCGGGCGCGGTACTGCGCGTCGAAGACTGAGGTCGGCGCGGCGCTGCCGCGCGGTTTCCGGCCAACGGCGGAGCCCCTCGCGGGTGCCGGATCGCTCGTATGCGGCCGGGCAGGTGGGCTGCGCAGGGGCCGCTGCAAGTACATTCCTGTAAGCTCGGCCGCCGCCTGCTCGCGTGCGCTGTCCTGCGCACACGGCAAGACCGGGGTTGGGCGTCCTGCCCAACCCGCCCGAGGCATGCCTCGGGCCCATGCGGCTCACGCCCCTGCGCAGCCCACCTGCCCGGCCGCGGACAAATTCTGGTGGCACCCACGGATTGGAAGATGAAGAGCAGGGGCAGGTCGCTTCGCTTCTGGTAGCGGCCGACCTTGGTCGGCACTCATTGCTCGGGTCACGGTTTGATCGGGGTTGCGACAACAAAAAAGGCCCGGCAATGCCGGGCCTTTTCGTTCCTGCTCGCCAGAGGCTTACAGGTTCGCTTCGGTGGTCTGCACCAGGAAGCGCTTGCGCATGGCGTCGATGTAAGCCTTGGCAGCAGCCATGCCGTCGATCTGGCTCAGCTGGTCCTTCAACTGCTTCTGCTGCTCGGCGGTCACTTCCTTGATGTCACCCGGGTTGACCTTGTTCACCGCGAAGACCAGTGCATGACCGTTGACGTCGACCTTGCCGTAGCTCGGCTTGCCTTCGGCAGGCAGCGGCGCACTGAAGATCGCGCGGTTGATCTCCGGGGTCGGCACCGGCTGGCTGCGCGGCAGGCCTGGCATCGGGCTCAGCTGCAGCTTCTCGCTGGCGGCCAGCGACTGCAGGGTCGCGCCCGCCTTCAGCTTGGCCAGCAGGGCATCAGCAACCTTGTCACCAGCCTGGCGCTGACGGTCGGCACGGATCGCGGCAATCACCTGCTCACGGGCCTTGTCCAGCGGCATCGCCTGCTCCGGGGTATGCGCGGCAACACGGATCACCACACTGTGGTTGCTGCTGCCGCCCAGGGCGATCGGATCGCTGGCGGTACCGTCCTGCACCAGGACATCGGAGAAGGCAGCACGCAGCACGGCCGGATCAGCGGCAATGCCGGTGGCGGTCGTGCGCGTGATCGGGCCCAGCGTATGCATCGACAGGCCGACATCCTTGGCGGCTGCGGCCAGGTCGCTCGGGCTCTTGTTGATGGCATCAACCAGGCGGCCGGCCAGATCGTTGAAGCCGCGCTCGCCATCAGCCTTCAGCTGCTCGGCAGCCAAGGTGTCACGCACTTCTTCGAACGACTTGCCCTCGCCGCCACGAACCGCAGCAACCTTGATGATGTGGAAGCCGAAGTCGGTCTTGACCGGGCCGATCACTTCACCGGCCTTGGCGCCAAACAGCGCGTCTTCAAACGGCTTGACCATCGCGCCACGTTCAACCCAACCCAGGTCACCGCCCTGCGCCTTGGAACCGGGATCTTCCGAGTTCGCCTTGGCCAGCGCGGCAAAGTCGGCACCGGCGGCCTTTGCTTCAACCGCCAACTTGGCGGCCTTGGCTTCAGCGCCGTCACCGGTGATCAGGATGTGCGCCGCCTGGCGCTGTTCCGGCGTGGTGAACTTGGCCTTCTCGTCGTCATAGCGCTTGCGCAGGGTCGCCTCGTCGGCCGCGGTCGGCGCCGGCAGGTTCGCACCATTGAGCTCGACATATTCCAGCGACACCGATTCGGCCTGGCGGAAATCCTTGCCATGGCTGTCGTACCACTGCTTGATCTGCGCATCGGTCACCGGCGCGGTATCAACCGGAACTTCCGGCAGCGCGGCCAGTTCCACATCGCGGGTCTCGCCCAGCAGCTTCAACAGACGCTCGGTCTCGGCCTGGGTGACAAAGCCGGAGTTCTGCAGGCCCGACGGGATCACCGACTGCTGCAGGCTCTCACGCACCAGTTCCTGGAACTGGGTCGGCGTGCGCGGCGGATTGCCACCGGCCAGGGCCAGGCGGTAATTGCTCTCGCTGAACTTGCCATCGGCGCCCAGGAAGCCCGGGATGGTGGTGATGTACTCGCGCACAGCGCCGTCGCCAATCACGACACCGGCCTGCTCACCGACCAGGCGCACGACCTGCTCGTCGATCAACTGGTCGAGTACGGCCAGCTTGTTCTCGGTGCTTTCGAACGCGCGCGGATCGAAGTTCTCGCCCTGCTGCTGGCGTTCGCGCATGCGTTCCTGCTCGAAACGGGTGCGGAAGTCCTGTGCGCTGATCTCATGGTGCTGCCACATCATGCGCACCGGCCACCATGACGGTGCCGAGCGCCACCAGGTCGGCGGCGCCGAAACCTTGGCGACGTTCTGTGCGCCGACGCCACCGAGGTAGCTGTTGTCGATGACGAACAGGAACGGAATCATCAGCAGCCCCAGGATCACGGTGACGATCCAGCCTGAGGTCTTGTCGCGGAGTTTCTGCAGCATGGTGAGGAATCACAAGGCTTGATTGGCGAGCCCGGCAGTGTAACCCGCTTCGCGGCGTGGACCAAAAGCAGTGCCGACGGGGTCTGGCGCCCCCTGCCCCGGTGATCGACATGATCACGCGCATCAAAAGATGAAAAACGACACAAAGAAAAAGCCCCCGACTTGCGTCGAGGGCTCTTAGAGTTGGCGGAGCGGACGGGACTCGAACCCGCGACCTCCGGCGTGACAGGCCAGCATTCTAACCAGCTGAACTACCGCTCCAC